TTCACTTCGCTTATCCAGCGTATTTTCCAATGGTTCCTGAAATTATTCACTTAGCTTATCCTGCGTACCTTCCAATGGTTTAGAAATTGTTCATTTGTCCAGTTCGATGTATTTTCAAATGATTCGAAATATTGTTCATTTGATCTGTTCCGTATTTTTCCAATTGTATGGCTGATTGTTCATTTGGCCTGTTCCGCTTATTTTTCCAATGCTTCCGCAGATTCGTTATTTGGAAAGTACCACGTATTTTCCACTGATTCCAGTGACTGTTTATTGGATCCGTCTCGCGTATTTTCCAAATGGCACCGATTCCAGTGTATTTTTCCAGTGGTTCTATAGATTGTTCATTTGTCCAGTAGTGTGTAGTTTCGCGTGTTCCAATCTCCGGATATTCTTCATTTTTCCAGTAACGCGTATTTTCCAGTGATTCTGAAAATTAAACATTTGGCATTTTCCATGTATTTTCCAATGTTTCCGAGTCTGTTTCCGCGTATTTTTCATATGCTATCGTCATTGGTCACTGTTTTCTATTGTTTTCAGCGATATTTTCATTGGCCTTTCAAGTAAAATGTATAAATATGAAAAAATTACTGTCAAAATATTCGAAACACCAAACCCCGAAAAAAAAAAAAATAGAAAAATAGATATATATATATATATATATATATATATATATATATATATAGAGAGAGAGAGAGAGAGAGAGAGAGAGAGGAGTTCGAATTGCAGTCGAATCCATTACATTAACTTAAGTGCAAATACCCTTGGGAAAGATGTGAATCCTATTCTTCTCCCTCCAGCTATGGGTAAATAGCAGGACAGACTGGGTTCTATAGCCTGGATGGAAACTGGTCTAGAGAAGGACAACTCTGAATTCAAAACCTGCGGAGGTTTGTTTCGGGACCTTGTGGCACGTAGTGCACCAGGTCTCTCTATTCGGCCCTTCAAAAAGTGTGGATTATCTTGCGCGAAACCTTCACCACTATAATCAAATCTCATGTGCTGTTGTCGGGCTGTCGGTTTCTAGAACTGATCTGCTTGACCCTCATACGTCGAATTCGACGGGAGAGTCGACTGTATACATATATATATATATATATATATATATATATATATATATATATATATATATATGTATATATATATGTGTGTCTGTCTGTGTGAACAATCTTCAGAACCAAATAATTTCACATGTTATTTAAAGGAATTTATTTTCCTTATGTTTTCCGATGTTTCACCATTGTCTTTTGTGTGTAGTAGTAATTGAAATTTTTCTTGGACTCGTGGAAAAAATATTCTTCTGCTTAAGGCGTAACAAAAAAATTAAGGATTGATCGCAGAAAGGATGAATGAAGGTCTTTGTACTTATCTTTTTATGACCCCTGTATCTTTTTTAAACCTATCTCCATTTTTGTGATTTGTGTGCACATGTGTGTGTTTGCTGGTATGTGTATATATATATATTACTTCTCCATACATTAGAACAAACTCCAATCAACTAGAACTCAAGGGGTTACTGAGAGCGAAAGAAAATGAGAAAACATTAGTGAGGAGAAAGGACAATAAAATAAGAGAATACAAAGAGAAAGAAGATTGCGATTGGCGTTGCATTTAAATTTTTGAAGATTGTAGGCGGCAGGGAAGCAAGAAATCGGGAAGGTGTTCCACAGTCGAGAAGTGCGAGAAAAGAAACTGTTAGAATAGGACACACAGTTGAATCTAGCTAGTTCAACGGTAAAACGGCGAGTCCTAGTTACCAATCAAGCAGCATGTTTAAATTCATGCAATCGAGGGACTAAGGAGGAAAGCTCATCAGAACAACTGCCATGAAAATATCTATGGAAAGTCACGTGACGTCGGCAAGAAATAGAATATGGTCGAGATGCCAGGTCGGGATCGATTACATTACAGACTATTCTTTGAATTTTGTCAAGAATCTAGGGCTACATAGTAGGAACACCAGACAACATTTCAAATCAAGTCAGTACGCTCATAGATCAGATCTCCTGACTGGAATCGGGGTGATCATTGAAATTTCAAAGAACTGATAGAATTAACTTTTTTTTTCTTGGACACATTCAAAGAACTGACAGAATTAATTATTATTCTTGGAAAGTTTCAAAAAACTGATAGAAATATCTCCTTTTTTTTTTCCTTGGACAGTTTCACAGAACTGATAGAATTAACTTTTCAAAGAATTAATGGAATTAATATTTTTTGGTGGGGTCAATTTCAAAGAACTGATGGAATTAATTTTTTTCTTGGACAGCTTCAAAGAACTAATATAATTAATGTTTTTCTCTTGAACATATATATATATATATATATATATATATATATATATATATATAAAACTGAACATAGAAGTCAACACTTAGAGGCGACACTCTGTTTCATGCTAGATGCAATTGTCAGGCCACGTGAAACAGACTGTCGCCTCCAAGTGTTGATTTCTATGTTCACTTTTTATATTTATCCTATAAATATAGCACGTCTTAAGACTATATTTCTTCATATATACATATATATATGTGTGTGTGTGTGTGTGTATGTATATATATATATATATATGTATATATATATATATGTATGTATATATATATATATATATATAAATATATATATATATATATATATATATATATATATATATATACAAATGAGAGAAATAACAGATGAAGTAAAGTTTCGCTAAATAAATAAATAAATAAATAGTACTTAATATTTTTGTTTTATCAAGAAAAAATATGTCTAAATTCACTTTCACGTGTTTATGTTTTATTAAATTTCTAAGCATCGCTTTTTAAAAGAATAAACATTGTCGAGGAGTGAAGGTAGTTATAATAATAGCGGTGTCAAGGGAAACCCCGTCTTTTTGGCACTCCATTTTTTGGCGAGCTCGAATGTCCCAGACTGCTCAAACAGTAGATATAGCTTACTTTTGATCATGTAAGCTGGAAATAGCGACGCCCGTGGCTGGAAAGAGGTTCATATTTAGTTCGCGTGTTTAGTACGCACTCCTAACTTTTAGGCTTACAAATCTGGGATAAAGTGTGAATTGCAAGTTAACTATTGGGCCGCTTGAAACAACAAATTATAAAACCAAAAAGAGACTAGAAGAATTGGAAAGTAGGAACAGTCAGAGAATATATTTCCTAAAATAAACAAACACACGTCAGAAGAAATACCGGCGACTAAAAAAGCGGGAACGTGAAGTAATGGATAGCGGCTGGGATTGAGGAATTGGAGAGGTGAGTTCGAATTCCAGTCGGATCCATTAAATTCATTTACATGCTGCTGCTCCTCCCTTGGGAAAGTTAGGAATACTCCTCCCCTCCCCCATGGGTAAACAGCAGTACAGATTGGGTTCTATAGCCCTGGATGGAGAAAGTAACTTTGAATTCAGGCGTATATAAATACTATTTATTTGTTCGATGATCCCGACTACGAATAACAATGAAAAAATTGTAGCAGACACTAAAATTATAAAGTACTCTGGACCATACCAAAACTGGACAGCAGAGATACGCAGTCAGCTTATCCACAAAGCAAGAAAACTAAAGAAGTTGCTTCATTACACCAGAAAGAATATGTCGTCTGGCTGTATATTAATAGAAAGCATGGAGGAGGACTAGTCAGCATGGAAGAGATCGTCAAGGGAATTCAAAAAGTATACAATGCAGAGTAAGTTCATCTTACAAAGTAGAGCTACATACGGGATTAAAACGACCAAAAGGATTGACAGTGAGAATTAATTATATGGACATTTTAGAAGATAAATAGAAAGAAAGGAATATAAATCGACAAGGCTACGCAAAGGAAACCTAAAACGAGAAACTGAAGAACTTTATAAGACGGACAAAAATCGATTGCACAAGAAGAAATTATATAAACACGAGGATACAGGAAAAAGAACATTTTTCCAGTAGGAACTGTGCAAGATACAAAACTTTGACTACAGAGATCATTAGTAATTATCAGGTTATATATATATATATATATATATATATATATATATATATATATATATATATATTTGGTTGGATAGATGTGAGTTTGTGACCCTGGGTTTCACGCTTTCGCATATAATATATAAATAATTATACATATATATATTTATTTATATTTATATACACTTTTCACATATATATATATATATATATATATATATATATAATAGCTGGCCACTCGTATTTGAGGATACCCATCAATTAGCACGACTAGCTAATCCCTATTGCAGGCGCCTGCTCTGTGGTTTTTACTGCAATTATGCTGACTAGACGTTAGTCACAGTTTCTGGGATCAACAATTTGAGCAAGGCCACCACGCTCAAGCTCTCGGCCACGATGACTTGTGACTTGTGACTTAATGCTAGCGCAACTATCGAAGAACCCCAAGGGTTATGTCTACTGTTGAAACTTGACTAATGCATGGAATAATAATGCAACACAAAATGTACTTAGAACAAAATGTATTGAAACAAGAAAATGTACACAATATTTACATATAGTCTTTTGTATATTCCTGGTAAGACCGTTCCTGGAGAATGTGTTGACTGAGTCGTAGTGGGGCAGAGTCTCTGGTTGAATCTCTTGATTCCTCCCTCTCTTCCCGGTACCAACCATATTTATATGGTCGGTACTCGACTATACAAATTAGGTGGATCCTACCACAACATCTACCCAATTTCTATCGCAAGGCTTGGGTCAACCTGTGGTATGGTTTTCAGGTACTTTCCAAAGGTGCCACACGCTGGGATCGACCCCTCCAATCCTCTCAAATCGACCATGGTGAGATTTTTTCTCATGTTAAGCGAATGTTCTAACCATATATATATACTCACACTCGAGGCCGAGTATATATATATATATATATATATATATATATACTCATACTCGTGGCCGAGTATATATATATATATATATATATATATATATGTGTGTGTGTGTGTGTGTGTGTGTGTGTGCGGGGAGAGAGAGAGAGAAATAGATGCAAGATACTGAAAAGAATCAACCCATTTCCCAAAACTTAAGAATATTTTTAAGTCTCTTAATCTTGCCAAGAATACTTCAGCCCCCACTAGGAAATAGATAGATAGATAGATAGATAGATAGATAGATAGATATACATACATACATACATACATACATACATACGTGCGCGGGGGACACGAATTATTTCCCAAAATTTGAGAAATTTTTTTTGTTGTTTTTTGAAAGATTCTTCGTCGTGCCAAAAATACTTCAACGACCCTCATAGATAGATAGATAGATAGATAACTTTGACCTAAACGCATGAGCGATTGCACACATCTATACAGAGAAGGCACACAAGCATTTTACATCGACGCGCGTTCTTACACAGGCACACCATCTTTTCTCTGACCTCATTTCACCGACCCTTCCTATTGCTTCACTTATCAACCAGTTTAGTCTTGGTTTAAAATATCGTAAATAAAATGCCAGCACAATGTAGGGATGAGTCGGCGAGATGGCAGGGTAAGGGATATCTCTTTTATTTATTTTCTATTTTTTGTCATGATTGGCGCTTTTTTTTTATGTGTTTGTCATCCATGAATCTATTTTCCTCTTGATATGTGGACGTTGTTATTATTATTATTATTATTATTATTACCTGTCAAATAAATGAGTCATCTCGAGCACCTGCCTCACTAGGTTCGCGGCTAACGACATCTGCCTATTGTCATTTTAACAATACCCGTTACACTTGCCCAGTGTCTTCTATCCCGGATGCATATACGCAAACATATATATATATATATATGTGTGTGTATGTATTATCCCTCACCGATAGTACGATACGAAGCTTCATGCACAGAGCAATATATATATATATATATATATATATATATATATATATATATATGTGCATGTTTGTGTTTCTGTGTGTGTGTGAAAAAGTCTTTGCACACACACATATATATATATATATACATGTAAGTGTGCTTTTCAAATATATATATATGTGTGTGTGTGTGTATTTTATATATATATATATATATATATATATATGTGTGTGTGTGTGTGTGTGTGTGTGTGTGTGCGTATGTTGCTTTCAGATAAAGTCTTTTTGTAAAGGGACAAAATGAATAAAAAGACAAGAGAAAAAAACTATTCTTAGCCAAAGCGTTTTGTCCTCTGATATATGATTTATTTTGTTACACGTGTTTATTTACAAGAGCAAGGGTTTCATTGGTTTTATCAAGGCTTTTAAATTTGAGAACATTCATGAATATAAATCAGGTGGTTGAAAGGTCTCTCAAAACATGTGGATGACGCAAAGTGCCATAATTCAAAGTCTGGTAAGACAAAATCAAGCGAGTAATATTCAAGAATTTATATATATATATATATATATATATATATATTATAATAAAAAGAAAGAACAGCAAGATATATAATTCGGTGTTCTTATTGATATTTTTATTTTTACAAAACAGTGCTCAATATAAATTTACAGAGCATAATTATTATAAATTAACTGGTTTAAAATATGGTTTCTTCGCTACACACGGATTACCATGTTTCAAAACTTCAAATTTAATTATATAATTAAATTTGAAGTTTTTAGCTTCGGTTTTTGAAACATGGCAATCCCTGTGTACCAAAGAAACCATATTTAAATCACTTAATTATATATTAGTGTTTAAGCCTTTTTTTATATATATATATATATATATATATATATATATATATATATATATGTGTGTGTGTGTGTGTGTGTGTGTGTGTGTGTGTTTTGGGGTGAAATAGATAGGTTTGTTAATGAAAAAGGACAAGCGAAAGAGTACCAATCTAATAAATATTAACCATTTGACAGAAATGAAGCACGGAGAGAAGGTTTTATCATCGAAATTTTCCGACACCCCAGTGTCCTTCATCAACGGACCAAGGAACAAACAGAGAAATTGCAATTACTCACCGGCAGTTGTTTTTGTAGGTGGGGTATTTTTCCAGTGGAAATCGTATTATTAACAAAAACCAGATCTCTGCCTGATACCTCGATGTGCGAAATATTTTATGAAAAAAAAACTTAAATTTAAATTTTGCTCGCCTTAAAAGTGTCTATTGTTACTAGTGTATGTCGTGGGGGGAGTGAGATTGTAAACAGTGATGAAGAGAGTTATAGGTTGAGGAGAAGGAAATATCTCTCTTGTGTAGAAAATTATTGCAAAAATTGGCAGATCACGTGGCCAAGTTTTGACAGACGGAACTCCGGTTAGAATATGTTGTGATGAGAAGGGAGAAGGAGAAAGGGAAAAATAGAGTTGAAAAAATAGGTGTACATCATAATAAAAAATGAAGGAACAAAATTATTTATAAAAATCTGAAATTCTGTTGTTAGAAATACATATACAGGGTGCGATGGATAAATGGTCGTCTAAATGAAACAAAAATGAAAATAACACTGACATCATATTTTAACAGATATATTTACCAAAAAATATCTTGAAATACCAAAGAGTAAATTTATTCAATAAAATCGCCATTGGCTTCAACCACGGCTTCCAGACTACTTTGGAATCTCTTGCAACTCTTTTGGACGGTTATAAGGAGTTTTATTGTTATTGATCTCCCGCTCAAATGCGCCCGACACATAATAATCAAGGGTGTTGATGTCTGGGGAGTTAAGTAGGGAGGTGCTGTGGTCACAGAAATTGTCTAACAGCCATGGCTGGGTTCTCCTGCTTGTGTGGCATGGTGGTGATTTTTGTTGCTAGACATAGGATCTTCCAGCAGCCACCCTTTTGAACCAGGACAGCACTACATCCTCAGGGCACTTGATGTAGGCCGCTGTGTTCAGTCCGAGGCCCTTTGGGATGATAAATGCAGACATGACGTCGTCATCACTACTGATCTCTCCTTCGGAATCACCATTAGACTCCTCAGATTGACAGCCAATCTTTCTGAAATGTTCGTATTAAAGCTTCCAGCACGAATGCCAAGAAGGACTGCATGCCGTTTCCAAATTTCTGGTGGAGGAAATTGCGTCATGATGCTCTTTTTTCTCACAGACGTTGCCCAACAGACCTTACTATACTGGGCAGTCGACAAAATCAAAAACAAACAACGCACATGCGCGAAATTAAAAATATAAAAAGGCGAAAATTTACCCATCGCACCCTGTATACACGCACGTAAACATACACACACACACACATATATATATATATATATATATATATATATATACATGAATTATTCACACAAAAACTAATGCAAAGGTTAATGATTTAAATGGCGAGACATCCATCATCGCAAAAACAATTCAAATAATATACAAAAAAACCTCTTATTATCGTTGTCCTCTTATTACTAAGAGAAAACAAGAACAACATCTATTCTATAAAGATGTCTGTAGGAACAGACGAAAGCTTTAGTAAAAAATAAGAACTAATACGGCAGAAATTTATATAAACAAGGGTCATTTCATTCATAACGGATTCGGAGGTTTTGTATATTATTTGAATTGTTTCGATGATGGATGTCGACCATTTAAATCATTAACCTTGCATTAGTTTTTGTGTGAATAATTCATGTATTTGTAAATTGATTGCACGTTTATCGTAATATATATATATATATATATATATATATATATATATATATATATATAAAAATACATTTTAAAACAAATTGAAATATATATATATATGTATAGAAAGATAGATAGATAGATAGATAGATAGATATTAACAGACTGAGATAGATAGATAGATAGATAGATAGATAGATAGATAGATAGATAGATAGATAGATAGATAGATATTAACAGACTTAGATAGATAGATAGATAGATAGATAGATAGATAGATAGATAGATAATTAACAGACTGAGATAGATAATGAGAAGATTTAGGTAGATAGATAGATAGATAGATAGATAGATAGATAGATAATGAGAAGATTTAGGTAGATAAATAAATATGATAGGACTGAGAACAGTCTTACATAGATAGATAGATAGAGAGAGAGAGAGAGAGAGAGAGACGGTGCATTGGAATCAACAGTCTTTATGACTGAATAAACTGACAATCACAATGCAGTATTAATACCTTTGTTCACATCATCTCTTTAAACGCTCTCTCTCCGACATTGAAAACTCTTCCTCGACAAATGTGTCAGATCTTGAACAATATATATAGATAATAATGCATGGTGTCGTGAACGAGTTGAGGGACACTTGAGAGCTGGCTGCGCGCTAAGCCCATAGATTGGTCGAACTCTCTGCTTTCGTCAGGGAGGAACCCCGAGAAGGTTATACCGAAGGGCAGATACTTGATCCTGTGTATACGGGGTCAACGGGCAATTTTTCCCGAGCTTACGCGCTCGGAACGCCCCACCTTAAAAAATAAAGCGGCCTTTTAACACATCCTACCTTGGTGAGGTTACGGTTTAAACTTATAAATAGTTGAGGGATAGTTTTCCTTTGAAGCATATCAGAGCGAGTAACAAAAAAAAAACTGAAACACGTTATGAAACCAGAACTGGCATCGAAAACACGCCTTGGTGTAACTACGATCCATTTACTGGTTGTACTTCCCAAGATTCTAGTTCCACGTGCCATGTTTGATGGATGTCATAATGTTATCTCCTGTTAATTTTCCCTATGAAAGTTCTCCACTGCCTTAACCGGGTATTGAACTCACACTCTTTGGGTCTTGTCACTGGATCTCTTTATCCACTGTTGTCCTTGAGGACAGTCTACCCCCAGTGAGCGAAATAAAAGGTTCAGTTCGACATTTGAAGAAAAGCGCACAACGGCCGAAACGTTGCGATAAATATGGCGACAAAGATGAGGACAATAGTCCGAATAATGTAAATAATGTAAACATCTTAATTTAAAGTGTATCTATTTAGAAACCTAGTGTGAATGTTAAGAGTTCTTTTACCACATTATATTTTAATATAAGTCTGTTGTAGCATTTCTTTTCTTTATTGAATAAACCGTGAAATATGTTGATTAGCGAAACATTGAAACGGGAAGAATACAAAAGTGCAAATTTAAGAAAGTATTCAAATATAGAAACAGATGCTCAATTTTTTTTTATTTGCTGTTTATTATTATTATTATTATTATTATTATTTTTATTTCCTTTGATTTCTGGCATGTACACATTTCTTTCCGGGCCCCGCCTAGGGACCTAAGGTTAGAAATGGCATCATGCCACTTTCCACTGCCAAAAAAAAAAAAAAAAATGACATAGATAAAGCCCTTCGTAAAGTGTGGACTGTACTTGTAAGAACTATTTTTGTATCTCTTTGAGGCATGGACTTCCAGGAATCCCTTCAATTAGTCTACTGGAATCTTTTCCAACCAATCATAGGGCTCCAACTGCAATAGGGATTGTTGATGTTCCCATATGCCACATTTTCGAGATTTCTATTTCAAGGTCCTTGTATTTTGGCAGTTTTTTGAATATCTTCAAAGATACATTGCAGTCAGCAGGGACTGCCATATCGATAAGAAGGCACTTTTTTGTGGTCTTTAATAACAATATCTGAGCGGTTGGCTTTGATTGTTCTGTCAGTGTGTATTGTGTAGTCCCATAGAATTGTAACAGGTCCTATTTCCGTAACCGGGTCTGGGTGGTGTTCATACCAGTTTCTTTCAGTTTCCTTCTCGTAGAAGTTGCAGATTTTCCAGTGCAGATATTGGCCCACTCTGTCATGCCGGGTTTTATATTCAGTGGGTGCCAATATCGTGCAACCAATATTTATCACAGAATCTGCATTTTGGGCTGACACAATATTTTAGTATATGTGCTTGATAATTCCTAGTTAGCAAGTATTGGTCCTGTGCAGCAAGGATAAAACCATCAGTTTCAGCTTTGAACCCTGCACTACGTAGCCACTGATGGGTACGGGTTTTGCCTACGTCAGCTTGTTTGGTACGGGCAGAGTATTGGCCATGAAGCGGTTTATTATTATTATTAAAAGTATTTTTCAGATGGAGGATTGCCGATTTGTTTGTAACTACAACTCGGAATCCATTTACGATTTATTTTAAGGAATTTGACAGACTTAACAAGAAATACTTTTTGTGCAATTTCAAATTCTGTGGTAGAGATAGATAGATAGGTAGATAGATAGATAGATATGAGCAGACTAAGATAGATAGATAGATAGATAGATAGATAGCAGACTGAAAGACTAAGATAGATATGAATAGATAGATAGCTAGATAGATAGATAGATAGATAGATAGATATGAGCAGAATAAGATAGATATGAACAGACTAAGATAGAAGATAGATAGATAGATAGATAGATAGATAGATAGATAGATATGAACAGACTAAGATAGATATGAACAATTTAGACTAGATAGATAGATAGCTAGATAGATAGATAGATAGATATGAGCAGAATAAGATAGATATGAACAGACTAAGATAGATAGATAGATAGATAGATAGATAGATAGATAGATAGATAGATATGAACAGACTAAGATAGATAGATAGATAGATAGATAGATATGAACAGACTAAGATAGATATGAACAAACTTAGCTAGCTAGCTAGATAGATAGATAGATATGAGCAGAATAAGATAGATATGAACAGACTAAGATAGATAGATAGATAGATAGATAGATAGATAGATAGATAGATAGAACAGACTTAGATAGATAGATAGATAGATAGATAGATAGATAGATAGATAGATATATCTATGGTCGGTACTGACAGTGTAACAGATGGTCCCGATCAAAGACACGATCCTAAACAAACGAAAGACACCCTATTCTATTGGTTGAAACTAAATCCATCTCGTAAGCTAATGCAGGAAGATTATCAAACAATGGATTAAAAAAGTATTTTGTTTTTCTTCTATTTTCGATGTATTTCTTCATTTTTTTTTAAATTTTCTTTTTTTGGTTCGATTTAGTTTTTTCATTCTTTTTTTCTTTTTCTTTTTATTTTCTAGTTTCTTCTTCGCGGCTTCAACTGTCTCCCAACTTTTCCTCTCTCTACCTCCGTTCTCTTTTCTTTTATTCGTTCCTTCTCTTCTCTCATTTCTTCCTCATCTTCCCTTATTTTCTTCCTCTTTTTTTTTTCTTCATTCGCTTTTCTTTTATTCTTTCTCCCACGTCTTCATTTCTTCTCTTATTTCTCTTTCCCGTTCTTCATTTCTTTCTTCTTCTCTCTTGTTACTCTTTTTTTTTTCTTTATTCTCTTTTCTTCCTTCCGTTCTTTTTCCTCTTCTTTCCTTCTTCTTTTCTTTTGTTTTTTATTCCTTTATTTGTTCCTTCTTTCTCCTTATCTCCTTTTCTTTCTTATATCTCTTTATTTTCGTCTTCCTTTTTACATCTTCCCTTACTCTTTTCTGTCTTTCTTTTTTCGATTTCTTCTTTGTTTGGTCCCGACTTCTACTGCATTCTTTTTTTTTTTTTTCTTTCGTTTCTTTTGTATCTTTTTTTCTATTTTGTCTTATTTCATTCATTTCTCTTCTTTTTCTTCTTTTCTTCTTTTTTCATCTTCTTTTTGCATTCTTCACTCATTCTCTTCCTTTTCCTTCATTTTATCCTCTCTTCTTTTTCTTCTTTTCTTCTTTTTTATTTCTTTTATTTCCTTTTGCCAGATATTCCTTCACCGTTTTTGTATGTTTTCCCCGGCTGACTTCACGTGATTTTAATTTATTGTGTCTTTTTAAATAATTCAATTTAATTCGTCAAAATACTGACACTTTTTTTATTGTTTGTCTCTTTGTTTGAATTTATTTCGTTATTTCTATTTTCGCGCTTTTTTCTTGGAAGTCCGCCATATTTCGCTGTATAACAAAATTTTGACTTTTTTGTCTTTGAGTAAATGCTATTTGCTATTTGCTTCTGTCTAGAAAGCAAAAGAAATGACTATTATTACCCTAAAACATTGCTGTTTTCTTTGGTTTGGTTTGTTTTACGGCATATCAACACCTCAATGAATTATTTAATGCCGACACGATTTTTATTGCTGGTAAGAATTTTTTTCTTCAAAAATATATTGCTGGTAATATTTTTTTTACAAAAATTTATTGCTAGTATTAAAACCTATTTTTATACTTTCATAATGTTTTAACCCCTGATTGGGAGTTAACTATTTGCCCATAACTGGGACCCTAACAGGAGCTACAACCCTGGGTCAGGGGTGCCTGGGAACATCAACTATTAAGAGGTGATTCCACGCTCCTCAAAACCTCCTGTTCAGAGGCCTTGGTTTCAGATGTAGTTAATCGTCTTACCCAGAACCCTGATGTAGATTATCGTCTTACCCAGGACGCTGATGTAGTTTATCGCCTTACCCAGGACGCGGATGTAGTTTAACGTCTTACCAGGACGCAGATGTAGCTTATCGTCTTACCCAAGATGCAGATGTAGTTTATCGTCTTATCCAGGACGCGGATGTAGTTTATCGTCTTACCCAGCACGCTGATGTAGTTCATCATCTTACCCAGGACGCTGATGTAGTTTATCGTCTTAACCAGGACGCAGTTGTAGTTTATCGTCTTACCCAGAACGTGGATAGAGTTTATCGTCTTACCCAGGACGCGGATGTAGTTTATCGCCTTACCCAAGGCGTGGATGTAGTTTATCTTCTTATACAGGACGCGGATGTAGTTTATCGTCTTACCCAGGACGTGGAAGATGCAGATGTAGTTTATCGTCTTACCCAAGATGCAGTTTTTCGTCTTACCCTGGACGCGGATGTAGTTTATCGCCTTACACAGGACGCGGATGTAGTTTATCATCTTACCCAGAACGCTGATGTTGTTTATCGTCTTACCCAGGACGCGGATGTAGTTTATCGACTTACCCAGGACGCGGATGTAGTTTATCGTCTTACCCAGGACGCTGATGTTGTTTATCGTCTTACCAAGGATGCAGATGTAGTTTATAATCTTACCCAGGACGCTGATGTAGTTTATCGTCTTACCCAGGACGCTGATGTTGTTTATCATATTACCCAGGACGTGGCTGCAGTTTATATTCTTACCCAGGACGCGGATGTAGCTTATTGTCTTATCTATGATGCAGATGTAATTTATAGTCTTACCCAGGACGCGGATGTAGTTTATCATCTTACCCAGGACGCGGATGTAGTTTATCATCTTACCCAGGACGCGGATGTTGTTTATCATCTTACCCAGGCCGCAGACATAGTTTAACGTCTTACCCAGGATGCTGATGTAGTTTATCGTCTTACCTAGGATGCGGATGAAGTTTATCGTCTTACCCAGAACGCTGATGTTGTTTATCGTTTTACCCAGTACGCGGATGTAGTTTTTCGTCTCATCCAGGACGCGGATGTAGTTTGTCGTCTTACCCAGGACGCAGATGTTTTCATCGTCTTACCCTGGCCGCGGATGTAGTTTATCGTCTTACCCATGACGCATATGTAGTTTTTCGTCTTACCCTGTACGCGGATGTAGTTTGTCGTCTTACCCAGGACGTGAATGTAGTTTATCATCTTATCCAGGATGCTGATGTGGTTTATCGTCTTACCCAGAATGCTGATGTAGTTTATCGTCTTACCCAGGACACGGATGTAGTTTATTGTCTTACCTAAGATGCGGATGTAGTTTATCGTTTTACCCAATACGCGGATATATTTTATCGTCTTATCCAGGACGTGGATATAGTTTATCGTCTTACACAGGTCGCGGATGTAGCTTATCGTCTTACCCCTGATGCATATTTAGTTTATCGTCTTACCCACAACGCTGATGTTGTTTATCGTCTTACCCACGACGCGGATTTAGTTTATCGTCTCACCCAGGATGCGGATGTAGTTTATTTTCGTACCCGGGACGTTCAAACTTTAACATTTCTGCTCTGGGCATCGATTTTTTTCCCATTACATTCCAGGTATTCAGCGTTGACTTGCTGAAAGAGAATTTTCTAGAAGTTTCTAAAAGTTTCAAGAACTTTCAAGAATTTCTAGAACGTTCTGGTCGCCAAGGAACGTATAACAAAAACTATATTTGGGGACTGAGTCGTGAAATTAATTTACGGTATATTCTTAAACCGCGAAAAACCACACACTTCTAAAAATTTTGTGGTCTCTCTTGTGTAACCCTAGAATAAATGAATACTATTTTGTTAATTTGTTATGGGAACTTACTCATAATAATAATGGACTATTCCTGACATTACAAATACTGCGCCTCTCAAGAGGTATGAGGATGTTGTAAGACAAGGAGAGATAATTTGAGAGCATATTGTAAGGACATTGGAATAGTGATACTTGTCGAGACATCATAGTTCACTCTAACCAAATCTGATAGTCATTACTAATACTTCTACCTCTTTGTATTATATTTCTGTTGTAATATATCTTTGTATTCCAGACCTGTGTTTGTGTTATTCTTTCATTGGTTTTAACCTTGGACCATCACCTTGGTACAAGGAACTTGGACCATAACATAATCATATATCGTTTTTTCCCTACTGTGCCCATCCTGGGTAAGACGATAAACTACATCCGGCAGCAAGGCCTCTGATCAGGAGGTTTTGAGGAGCGTGGAACCACCTCTTAATTGCTGTTCTCCCCAGGTCCACCCTGACCCGGTGTGGTAGCACTTGTTAGGGCACCAGATATGGGCAATAATTAATCCACCAAACTGCGGTCAAAACACTATGAAAATATAAAAATACTTTTTATAGTAAAAATAAATCAACACATTTTAATATTTAAAAAATTTACCAGCAATATATTTTTTTTTTTTTGTAAATAAATTAATAATGCTCACAACAAAATTAAATTTCGGTATTAAATGACCCATAAGGCATTTATATCCTGCTAAACAAACTTCCTCAATTGCGTGAATGGGAATGATTAAATTCGCTAGTCTTTCATGGGAATAGGTAAATTTCAGAAATATTGTCCCGGTCACAAAACTTTAGCCTTATTTCATTAGTTCTCGGCATAAAAGCAAATAAAAAATAACAGTTTGTAAAGAGAAAAATCGTGTAAACCCAGTGTTATTAATATTTTTTGAAAGCTTCTAACGACAGGTAGATTGTTTTCTTATCCCGTTGTCAATATATAGGGATATCCCAGAATGAGAACAATCTAACCCTGTAGTTTCAATAAAGCGTTCAATTCGAAATTTTCTAAAGGTTACCCAGATCCGAAGACACTTAACGAAGTCCAGTAAACATAACAAACGAAATGTTGTGTTCGTATCAATAGAGATGAGGAACTTAAACCGATTGTAAATAATTAATGGATAGCTTGGATTAAATGAATGCAAATTCTTATCAAAAACATTTCCTTTTTATAATGACGCCCGAATAATAAGAACTGTTGTTCACGGATAAATGTTTTTGTTTCGGAGATTTGACACTTAGCCGCCATTACTTGACTGTGATGTTATTATCACATTAGATCGACGTCTCTTCCGTGGACAATTGGAGTTTTCAGCCCGCTTCGGAGTTGTCATTATAATGTCAGCAAATTCAAAGAAAATTATTTTTCTGCAATTCTCCATTTATCCTCATTATGGTTCATTTTTCTTATTTTCTTCTTACAAGTAATTAAATGAAATCCGTTGGTTGCCTGGTTGTTTGTTTTTGCTTTTTAGGGTTGCTTTTTTGTTTTGTTTACCGGAGTGGGATGGGTGCATAATAACGTGTGAAACAAAATCAATGGGGGCTTTTGACTCTTTCGAATTTTGTGTAATAAAAAATGAATCTAAATTAACATCAAAAGGCAAAAGAAAGAAATCAAGAAAGAAAGAAAATAAAGCAAAACTTTGATGGGAAGAAGAGGAAAATGAGACGAGAAACAA